TATATATATATATAATAAGAATAAGACTTAAAAAATTGAAAAAATTTATAATAACTGAAAATAAAATTTAAGTCTAACCAACATCCTTTCCCCAGGTGCTATATGATGGTATGGAGTGGGTGGTTCAATTGGTGACTTCAGTAAGTATAGCAATTCCCACGAAATGTACCAATTCAAGTATCAATTGAGCCGATTTTCATTGCCCTCATCAATATTACCCTCTCCTACAACAAATGAATGCATTTTCTTTCATAACTGAATATAAAATCAATAAAAATCAACCTAATCTATGTTAGCTTTTCCCCTACCATTCACTCTAAATCCAAGCTCCATCAACTCCATGTATGTTTATGCATTTATAGCTCCAAATTGCTTTATCATACAGTTTGATAAATGTCACTCAACTCGTCCCCAATTGATAAGTAGTGCGTCAGACTTCCAAATTGCTACTCCAAATGTTCATCAACTTGAAGTATTTTCTAAAAATTATAGGGCTCCCAAATATCTGCGTAAATTTTTCTGTTAAAGTTTTGGAATATTATAAGTTAAATTAATTTTGGGAATGTTCAATGATGATAACTATACTAACTTCACTTTATAGTAACATGTAAATTGGACTTCAACCTTATTTGTGAAGAGTATATCTTCTACCAACTCATCTCGAATGTAACATTCTTGAAATATTGTTATATTCTCAAAAGGACCATAAGAATCAATATTTTAATCCAACTTTTGTGTCGTTCGACAGTAATAAAAAAAAAATCATTTGTAGACATCATTTGATCAATCAAATGTGAGTTAACGGGTGCCTATTTTTGTATTAGTTAATGTCCTAAAAAAATTGATTATCTAATTCTATGGTGTTCTCAATCTCTTAAAAAAGCATCATTATATATATCACTAGAGTTTCACTAGATTGACTGTCAATTATATTATAGTCCTTAGAAATTCTGTTGACTAAAACGTCTATATTAGCCTATTAAATGTGTCACTAAAGTGTTGTGTCGATGTGCTCGCCGTATTTGTTTTGACTTGTTGAACCATGTTTCTAACAAAATAAAGATAATTATCTGAAAATATTAGTAAGTGATGCAGACTTAAGAGAAAAAAGTTAAATTGGCACAATTTTTATACGTATTGATACGTGCGCCATTCTCAAGTTCTATGGATGTCGAAACTCCGTGTCAAATTATTGTTCTAACATAGTTTGGTTCATAAAGGGGAAGAGAAACAATTTCAACATAAATAATCAATGACTTGCTATTGCCATTTTTAATAATTTATGTGATCTCATCATCATTAACATGCATTACAATGATTTTATCGTCTACTGGAAAACAACACACTGTTTACTATGAAATTTATGCTATCATAATTTAATGATTGAAGAATTTCTGTCTTCAACTTTCGAGCGTAGTCTCCCTCAAAATACGAAGCGGACGTGTCTTGCCGCCAACATACTTTGGAACAGACTTTTCAGAAAGAGTTAAGAACTCCATCATAATGTATCATCAATGTTGTTGCTTATTCAATCATTGTATGTTATTTCCCGAATAAAAATATAAATGTATATTTTTTTTTCAGGATTAAACATAAAATAATAAATAAATATTTTATAGTTTAATCATAATTGGGATCACAACTACTAATAACTAATTTTTATTTATTTTTAATAAAAACTATTTAGCCATTGCTGCTGTTTAAAACATTACTAACGATCGATTTTCTTATTTTATTGAACCCTATGCAATTTAATTAAAGTATTAATATGTTGACTTTCAAAATTTGCTCTAAAGATATTAAAATTTTATGGATTGGATTGAAGTGTTCAATATAATTTAGATGTCTAAATAAAATATATATTTCCAATGGTTTATATTTAATTGTACATGTCTAAAATAATAAAAACAAACAAATAATTTTATTCATGCAAAACAAAAACTAAACAATTATATATATATATATATATTTATATACATTGATTTATTTAAATAAATAAATCAACGTATATATATATATATATACACACACACACAAAAGTTGTTATTTAATATCACCTTGACAAACAATTTGTGGCCCGCACAATTTAATCTCATTAAAAAAAAAATTAATGTGCCGTCTTGCATAAATGAATACAGAGCCGATCTGTCTTCATAAGTAGAGAAAACAGTTCTTTACCGGCGCCATTGGGCGGATATCTTCGTTCACTTTCGCCGGCAATCACAGCCCCGCCGGAGCAACTTCGCCTAAACATTCTAGTTTCCTATCCGCTGCTGATTTGAGATCTGTCAGACTTTGTTTCGGACAAATCGACGGTGTCTGATATGTCGCCTGAAAGCGGCACGCTTGTCCATGATATCTTCTCGGCGGGTCTGACGTTGGGGGTGGTCTTAGGGTTGCTCATATTCTGGGGGGAGATAGCGAAGAGGAGCTTTTTTGAGCAGGTCTGCCCTCTGTGTCCCATTGTCTGAGCTTCATTTTGTGCTGCACATTCCTCTTTGTTTTGAATTTAGCTTGATTTTTTATTTTCTATGATGTGGATTTGGTGTAATGGTAACGGTTGCTTTTTTCGTTGAGCTGATTTAGTGCACAATATAGAATTGGCTCTCTTAAGAATGACTAATTAGCATTTTACTAACCTTTATTTATAAGTATGAGGATATCAAATATATAATTACATGTTTGTTACTATTTTTTTATGGGGGCGTTATAAGATATTTCAGGTATAATATAAATGAGTATATGACTAGATCACCCTATTTTTGACCTGCTCGGATCGATAGTCATTGGGTCGGCAAGATCCGCTCAGTCGACTCTGTTGAGTTGGGGCAGTTTTTGGGCTTAACCTGTCTTTCAGTTGTCTGAATATTCGCTTGTTCGGTTTGAGTTAGCCGGTCAACCACTTTGTTTTGGATATCGACTATCAACCCCTATATGAGGCGCTCTTGTTTCAGGGATGTGTTTAGATTGTCGAGCAGAGGGTGAATCGACGTAATATGATAGGTAGCTCACCTCAAGGTGAGAGGTTCATTTGAGTTCTTGTGGAGTATGTCGTAATGAGAACCTTCGAACTCGTGAGGAGTCTTTGGGGGCTCTCTTGAGGTGATTGGTATTGTTGGGATAAAAGTTAGGATGATGCTCTATCTTGACAAGAAAGATCTTGATCTTCGTCTTGGGTGGCCTCCGTTCGATTGACTTCAAGTCTTGACATAGAAGAATTGTAGTTGATCAGTCAGGTTTTGTAGCCTTATGGCGATGTGGCTCTGAGCCTTCACTTTGCGTGTCTTCCCTGACAATTCTTTTTTGTCTCTTGGCTAGTTGAATTTCTTTGAGATTGGTGATGACGTATTGCTGACATACATATTTAGTTTCCTGATTCTCTTTCTCCTTGAATGTCATACTGCAATAAGAATACGAGAAATTTATGCAAAAAAAGGACATTCATTTATTTAATAATAAGTACTTTAATAACTGAATTATCTGGATTTTTGTGTCCACGACTTTTTATAAATAGGACATATTTAGCACTTTCACTATTCATATTATTAAGACGTGACAAGGATTTCTCGAATGAAGCCGTTACTGAGGACATACTAGGAAAAGCCTTCAAGACTTCTGCATTGAGGTTCCACTTTGAGAGGGAGCTTGAGAAGAAGAAGCGATCAGAGGGCAGCAGCTATGCTGAAGGTGAGAATAAGGGGCTGGAGAGAGGTAGTCTCCTCAGGGTTGAGAAGAAGTTCGACGAAGAAAATAGAGCAACAAAAGAAAGCCGGCTCAAGGGTACAAAGAAACCCGTGGTAACAAAGAGGTCGGCGAAAGGAGATCGGCTTGAAAGTGTGAGGCGAGTTAAGTAACTCACTTACATGAAGAAGCGGGAGGAAGATCCTAGAGATGAGGTTGCGTCATCTGACTCGTTGACCATTCTTCGACAAAAGGATGGAGGCAAGTAGGACGAATCGCCTGCTAGTGTGCCAGCTTGTTCTCTTATTGCAATTTGCGATCAGCTGATTGACCTGCCTGCTCAGGGAATGACAGGAGTTTCTCTGCCTAAGGACCAAAGCACTCCTATTCTGAAATTAGGTCTTGAGAGAGAGGCCACGAGTGCTCCAAAAGACCAAGGGGCTGCAACTCGGGAAGCAGGCCTTGGGAGAGAGGTCGCGAGCACCCCACAACACTAGGGTGTTACGATTCTTAAAATATTCTTTGGGAGAAGGATTGCAAGCGGCTCGCAAATGCCTGACGAGTCATTTTTCATTCCGGTGGTCCGAATCGGACCGAGCCCTAGGTATGTGGAGATGATCTCCTATGGTTAGACATCTCTTTTGTGCAATAATGTTTTAAAAATATTATTTAATATTTATTTATTATAATTGTATGGGATAATATTGTTATGCATAATGAATAAAAAAAATAAAAAATTTCAACTAACTATTATATATTTATATAAATTTAGAAATGTTTATAAATCTTAATTTAAGAAATTATAATTAACATATTAGTTAAATAACAAAAATATTACTTATATATTTAGAATCAGTTGATGGGTAATTAATATTATAATTAACGGCTTTAGTATTGATTTTTGCATTATGAGACTAAATTTGTTTCATTCACCAATCCCCTTTTCTTTGTTAATAGTAGTTTATATATTTTTATCTTTTTTAGCTTTATTTTTTTTTCTTTAATTTTTTTTGCACATCAATTTTCATTCTAATGAGTAAAAAAAAAAAAAAAATTGTCACACATTTTCAAGATAGATTTAATTAATAGAAAAATAATTCTTGATAAATTTAAATGTGAATATCACTCATAAATTCTTAAATTTTTTTTCCATGTAGACTGCCATCAAATATAAAATAATAATAATTCCTACTTAACTTTCTGATTTAAGTTAAAAAAAATTTAATGTTTTGATTCATGCAAAAAATTAGGTCTTAATTCTCCTATAAAAAAACTATTTATTTATCTTTGATCCAATTTTAAATAATCACTTAGAATATTTTAAAATTATTTTTATTAAAATAAATTAAATTGTTATATTTATTAATGAACTTCTATAGCATTTAAAAATAACTCATATTATATAATTTTATTGATCTAGATTATAATATTAATTACTCACTAATTAATTTATACTTTTTAAGTTATATTATTATTACTTAATTAATATAATATTTTTAATTAATTAAATTAAAATTCAAAAATGTTTCTAATTTTAAATAAATTTATTATTTATATAAAATTATACACACAAATATTTTCTAAAACTATTATAAAAAATAAAAATATTAAAAAATATTTAATAGGAGTGAGGAGGCCGTGCTCGAGCTAGTTGTGCCCTGGGGAGAAGACAAGGGTTTCAAACTACGAACTTAAGTTTTTGAGAAAATATTATATCAGGACTCCTAATGTAATTTGTAATCAATGATAGTATGCCATGTGTTTAATGAGCCCCAGTGTAATAGAGTGACGTTAAGGGGGGTGTTAGAAGTACTTGACATGTTTGAACTCCGAATCCATATAGAGCGCTGATGTAATAATTTTTCCAGAAATTTTAAATAGGTGGGCCGCACGTCGAGATACCAGCGGCCATCCGGCCGCACGAGCTGCACGGTGATGTGGCCGGATCATCGCCGTTCTCTGGACATGCGGTTCACTTGACGTAGAGATCGCAGGAGAGAGTTGAGTTGGTCTGCGGTTTAGTAGTGGCGGCTAGCCCGGTGAGAACTGGTTTGAGGAGCGGAAGGCCGGGGAAATGGAGTCTGTGGAGCTGATGGGGTGGAGTGTGATGAGAACAGAGGGAGATGGTGGAATTAGGTGGTCGGCTAGATTGGCGAGGAAGCGAAGCGCTGTTGAGTCGATTAAGGTGCGGGTGAGCAAATCGAGGGCACGGAGCGGGTATCAGGCGTGACTTGCTTGCGGGCTGGAGATTTGAGTGGGGGATTGCTGCGGTACTGTGAGGCTTGAGTGAAAATGAGTGAGGCAGGCGTGCTCGCATTCACTGTGCCGAGGGGAGAAGATAGGGTTTGCGTGGCGTGGGTGGAATAGATTTACGAACTTTGAAAGTTCAGAGAAAGAAAAGAAGAGGAGAACAGAATTGAAACAATAAAATAATATTTTATTATATTTAACGTTAATAAAGATAACTTAATCATGTTAAATCCTTGATATAAAAGCTAACATTACAGTGCCCTTTGAGTCATAGCTCAGTTCGACGATCCAGGGCGCGGCTTAGAGGCTGGAGTTTGAAGCAGAAGATGAGATGCTGAAACCTGAAGTTGCTACTACATCTTCTGAGGAAAAAATGTGACGTAAAATTGCTACAATACCTTCTGAGAGTCAGATCCGCCATATAAGTTCGATTACCCCTTTTAAAGTTGAGTATCAAATATTTAGATTGTCATCTTGTTTGTATTATCATGATGTCTTTTTGCTGTAAGAACTTTTATGAAAATAGTTGCTGACTGGTCTTTTGTCATTATTTGTTTGAGAATTATATGCTTGAGTTTGATGTGATCTCTTATAAAGTGATAATCCATCTCAATATGCTTTATTCTTGCGTGGAATACAGGGTTATGAGCAAGTGTCATAACTAAGGTATTGTCCCTGTAGAACTTGGAGGTAGTTACAGGCGTGCTGGTAAGTTCGTGACGTAGTCTTTATAACCAAAGGATACTTGTAGTTGTAGTTGCGAGAGCTCTATATTATGCTTTTGTGGAAAGTCTTGTAACAGTGATTTGTTTTTTTTAACTTACTAGATAATTAAAATTGCACCAATGCAAATGCAAAGACTTGTAGTTAATTTTCTATCTTCTTTATTACTAGCCCAATTGACATCTGCATAAGCAGTTAAAGAAATTGGTTCAACAGTAATAAGGAGATCATGATTGGGAGTGTCGTTAAAGTATCTTAGAAGTCATTTGAAAAGTTAGTAATGATTTATATTTGGATTATACATATATTGACTCAATAAATTACTAGTGAATATTATATCGGGTTGAGTAACAGTGAGGTCTTGTAAAAAAAACTAATGAGATGTCTATAGTATTGCAGATTTGAAATAGATGATGATGGAATGATATTTTGGTGTGATTGAAGTGAAAAATGCGTTAAATAGGTTTAGACTGAAGCATACCTGTATTGACTAAAAGTTTAGAGAGATAATTAGTTTGATGTAAAAAAAATCTAGTTATTTATTTGCGAACCGAGAAAGTAAGAGATGACAAAGCTGTTTTAAATTAAATTATTGCCTAATGTTTAAATTAACGTATTTATAACATTCAGAGAGTTTCCAATGATGAGAATATCATCAACATATACAAATAAATATATGTGAGTATTATTATGATGATAAATAAGTAATGAATGATCATAAATATCCACTTTAAATTTTTCTGTGTATAAGAAATTGCAAAAAGTTTGAATATAATTGCCTCTATGTTTG